TGTCTGTCTGTCTGTCTGTCTGTTTGTCTGTCTGTCTGTCTGTCTGTTTGTCTGTCTGTCTGTCTGTCTGTTTGTCTGTCTGTCTGTCTGTCTGTCTGTCTGTCTCTCTATCTCTCTCTGTCTGTCTCTCTCTCTGTCTCTCTCATCTTTCTCTATACCCCTTTCTCTCTCTGTCTTCCTCTCTATCTGCCTCTTTATTTTTCTCTCATCCACCCTCTCTCTCTCTCCCCTCTCTCCCCACCCTCTTTCCTCAGTTTATTTTATCTCTCTCACTCTTTGTCTACCCTTTCTCCCCTCATCTCTCTCTCTCTCTCCCTCTCTCTCTCTCTCTCTCTCTCTCTCTCTCTCTCTCTCTCACACACACACACACACACACAACATACCTCCCAAACTCCGCCCTTGAGCAGCTCCAGCTCCTCCCCCTCCTGGCCCCGCCCCTCGGCCTGCTGCACCAGCTCCTGTAGGTCCTCACACAGATGTCCCAGGGCTCGCAGCAGGTGCTGGTGGAAGGGACAGTCCAGGCTGTCCAGCTGGTGCAGCTCTAGCGTCTCCTCCACCTCCTCCATGGATGTGGGTTCCACTTTCAAATTAGATAGTATGTTGTTTTTGCTTTTGTTTTGTTTTTTGTTTTTTTACCGTAGGACGGATGTTTTTTTGGGGTTTTGTTTGGGTTTTTCCTTAGACGTTTATCGTTCGTTTTTTTCCAGGACGTTTACTATTCTGTTTGGGTTTTTTCCAGGACATTTATTGCGTTGTTTTTGTTTGTTTTTCCAATGACGTTTATTATTTTGTTACGTTTCTTCAAGGACGTTTATTGTTTTGTTTGGGAATTCTTCCAAGGACGTTAAACTTTATTCTTTAACTGTTGTTTTTTTCAAGGGTGTTTATTATTTTGCTTTTTATCTTGTTTTTCAATTACGTTTATTGTTTTGTTTGTGGTTTTTCTCACTGGACTTTAATTGTTTTGTGGATTTTTGTTGTTCGAGGAAGCTTTCCCCAAGAAGTGTATCTCAGTGGCAGGAGGAGTGATAACGACCTGTGACGAAGACAGCACTGAGTACTGAGTGAGTCAACGAGAGAGCGTGCCTTGGTCTGTGGAGTTTGATACAACAGTACTGCAAGACATCTTCTTATCGGTGAACGATCTCTTGTGTTGAAAAAAAATGGGTGGCTGACGGGTGCTCTGATGAAGTTTGCTCATTTTTTCTTATCAAACATCTATGGTCTTTATCTTTCTTCCTTATTTTATTTGCATGTTACTCTCTAGTTACACCTCTGTTTTTAGTTTTAGTAGAGGTTTTACGGCGCTCGCAACTGCATAAGGTCATGCGAGCGCCAAGGTAGAGGTTTTACGGCGCTTGCAACTGCAAAAGGTCATATGAGCGCCAGAAGATTAGAGGTGTTATAAGAGAGCAACAAACATAAAAACGAAGAAGGGGAGATAAAGACGATAGATGTTCGATAGGAAAGAAGAGGCAAACTAAACCACACCAGAGCACTCGCCAACCACCCACGTTACACCTCTAATCTTTGGTATTGACACTTATAC